TCCTCCCTCCTCCCTCCTCCCTCCTCCCTCCTCCCTCCTCCCTCCTCCCTCCTCCTCCCCCTGCCTCCTCACTCTCGTCCTCCTCGCCTCCTCCGGCTCGGCGAGGGCAGCCGGCGCCCCAACCTCCGCGCTCCCAGGACGTCGGAGCCCGAGGAGGACGTCGTTGTGGTCGCTGTTGTCGTTGGGGGCGAAGAGCCACCACAGCGACGACAGCGACCACACCGACGACGAGGGAGATGGCAACGATCGCCACGAGACCGCTCGCAGGGAGAGCAACGACGAGCAGCGACGGCAGGCACGGCAGCGGCAGCGGCGCCAAGAGCGACGTCGTGGCCGCTGTTACCGTGGTCCTTCTCAGCGGGCCCACTGCTGGGCCACCTCAGACCTCCAGCCAGCTCGGACCGCCTTCCCCAGCTAGAAAAGAAGAAACGGCATAAACATAAGCTTTTGGCGCTCCGCGCGGATTTCTTGGATCCGCGCTAGGCCCCCCCGGCGGCGCCTCTGGCGCCGCCCCTGGCGCGCTCCGCGCGCCGGGGAGGGGGGTCCAGGCCAGATCCAAGAAATCCCCACGGAGCGCGAAAAGTTTATGTTTATGCCGTTTTCTTTTCTTCCAGGGGGGGAGGCGGTCGGAGCTGGCTGGATGTCTGAGGTGGCCCAGCAGTGGTTCTGGTGCCAAGTTCAACGGTAACAGCGGTATCGTTGGATCGTTGTGATCGTTGTGATCGTTGTTATAGTCATCGTTGTCGTTGTGATCGCGGTTGTCGTCGTGACCGTTTTCGGTTGGCGAGGTCTGGGTTCGGGACATTTCTTCGGGACCATTTTTGGGGCCCCGTACCGTCCAAAATGGATGCGGTGTGAAAAATTGCACCAGATGGACTCCGGCAGGGGTCCGGGGAGCGACTTTGAGCGGATTTGCTTTTGTCCGTCTTGACCAGTTTTACCGTCGAGCGATGGAAGATTTGAGGCCTCCCACATGGGGTCCGAGTGGATAGGGTCGAAGGATGGCTCCGCATCGACGAGGCATCGACGCTGGAGCTCGATGTGGAGCCAGTGCTTCTCCACGCCGGCGTCGCCGATAAATCGCCCCGATGCATCGGCGATGCATGGGCGATGCTGCGCGATCTCCTGGCCCCATCCACTCGGACCTTGTATGGGGGGCCTCTTACGATCGGGGTGGTGTGAGCGAGGATTGACCGAGCATTTTCTTTGGGTGGAGGGCGAAGGGTGAACTCTGAAATGCCGTCTCGATGGATTTTCGAGGCTTGGATCTGCAAGAGGCGAATCACAGGACGGATTGATTCTCGAGGTGCGAAAGTCCGTCTGGGTTTCACCCTGAGCCCTCCACCCGAAATCAGAGCGTGAATTACCTACCCCGCTTTCACTTCCGGGCAAAACCAAGTTATACCACGCGCCTCTTCGCCAAGCGGCCAGACCAGTACAGGCCGCAGCTTGGCATCGCTTGGCATCTCTTGGAAGCGAGGGTGGTCAAAAGCGAGGTAGGCTTGTTTGCCCCCTACGAAGATCAGGAGCGAAAGAAGGACGTACACGTACATGAATCCACGCTGGTTTCGATAGTACGCATTGCCCGAAAGTTCGTATCACGCGGCCGGTCTCGCAGATCGAGGGGCCGTGTTCATGTACATAGCTGGGCGCGTACGTCCTTTGTGGGCTCCCTAGAAGAGCATGCTTCGATGGAGCGCACAAGCCATGACATAACCAACACACGTTCGGAGGTCTGCTTGGACCTCTCGGGCCGGCGCCGGAGCCCCCACGGCGGCGCCTCCGGCGCCGCCCCTGGCGCGCTCGCTGGGGCCCAGCGCCGATCCGCGAACTACGCGCGGACCTCCGACAGTGTATGTCTGTGTCGTCGACTGCACCTCTGCACTGCACACGTGCGTGTATGACGAACGAGCAACACACACGCTGGCTATGGGTATGGGTGCGGGTTGTCGGACCCTGGGGAACGCTCCCGTTCGAGCGGGGACCCCCATCCGACAACACGCACCCATAGCCCTCTCCGACCCCCCTATGGGTATGGGTGTGTGTTGTTGGTTCGTCAGTGTGTGCGCAGATGGAGGACTTCATGTTCGGTGCGCTCGTGCCCCCCCCCGAGTGGCCCTCGCCTGGCCTCCCCCCCCCTCTGCGGCCGCCCGCCCCGTCCCGTGCCTCCCCGCTCGAAGGCTGACCAGCTCGCTACAAAAGGGCCGCCGTGTAGTCAGAGCCATCCGCCAGCGCAGGCGACCCCCTGCCTACTCCAGATTTCGTAATAAAAGGGGGATGGTCTGATTTGGGATGGGGTCAGATTTGAGCTGTCTTGGAGGGTTCCAGTGGGTTTGGGCAAGAAGCCGCCCTTCATGGCTTGTTTGGGGGGGTCTGGAATTGCCCGTCTGTGAGGGGTGTGACTCCCCCCCCCCTTTATGGCGAAATCTGGAGTAGCCGCCCACGAAACATGGTCTGAGCGCTCGCTTTCCCGCCTCTCACGCGCCCCCGTCCGCCCCGCGCTCCACCGTGCCCGGTGCGGCCCCGTGCGCCCCACGTCTGCCTCTTGGAGCGCGACCGGAGACTCCTCGTCGCGGCGAGCACGGTCGGGCCGAGGTGTCAGGCCGAGGCCCCCTTCGGGGAGGATCGAAGAAGAACGAGCGGGCCAGACAGTCGGCCCTGATTAGTACGTCGACCCTGCCAGCTCAAGGGTACCCTTGTGTCCTGTGCCTCGCGACACGTGCCTTCTTACACTCCTATGGCGATGTGGCCTTCGGAAGGGTCCTGTGTCCTCTCGCGTGTCCTGTCCAATCAAGTCCGACTGTACACATCAGCCTTTGGCGCGCGGAGCGCCAAAAGTTGTGTATGGCCTTCCTTGCTTCTTCTGCTGATGTTCTTCGTGTTTTTGTTGGAGGTCCTTGTGCGTCCTGGGGAAGGTTCCCTTGGGTCCGGCTGCATGCGCAGACAGGGCTTCACAACGGGGCAGCTTCCCGACGGCCACCCCGCAGGAGGCCCTCTCGCCCGGGCAGCTATCGAGGCAAACCACTGGGCTCGACGGCGCCGCGGGCGGCGGCGGTCTCGGCGGGCTGACGACGGCCATGCTGCGGCACGTGCCCCTGAAGCTGAGCCAGGACCGCCACGAAGAGGGCTCGAGGCTGGAGGATCGAGGTTCGTTCCTCCTCCTCCTGCTCCTCCCTCCTCCTGCTCCTCCCTCCTCCTTCCGCCTCCTCCTCCTTCTCCAGCTCTCGCTCCTCCTTCCTCGTCCTTCTTCTCCTCCTCCTCCTCCTCCTCCTCCTCCTCCTCTTCCTTCCTCCTCCTCCTTGTCCTCCTCCTCAGCCAGTCTGGCTCAGTCAGGTATTCTAAACCGCTCGAGGCGCAAAGTTCTTATGCCCCAGCGCCTTACTTTGCTTAGGGGCATACAAACTGATATGGCTGCTGATGGTCCCTTTCCCCCATCCCCGTGCCGCCACAGCGGAACTTGACGCAGCAGCGCTTTCGGTTCAGCCCCGGCTGTGGCGACGCCAGGGGCAGGACGACGACGACCACGACGACGACGACGACGACGACGACGACGACGACGACGACGACGACGACGACGAGTTCGACGACGACGACGAGGAGGTCGAGGGCGAGGACGAAGACGACGGCGACGACGTCGTTCTGTTGTCAACGATTCGGCCCTTCCGGAAGGGTCGCCAGGCTTTGGCATCGTCAGAGACTGTCCTCCTCTTCCTCCTCTTCCCCCTCCCTCCCCTTCTACGCAAAGTCAGCTGGCAAGTGCGACTCATCGCGCCAGCGCCAATGAGACTTGCAAGCCGAGACCAGATCCAGATGCAATCTCTGGGCCGGACGAGCCAGATCAATAGGACGAACCAAACCAACCACAGCCAGTAGAGCAAGCGCGGCAGACCAACCCGGCGAACAAACCAGACCAACCAGACGATCGAGACGAACCAGACCAGACAGACCAACCAGACCAACCAGACCAGCCCGACCAAGCAGACCAGCCAGACCAACCAACCAGACCAGACCAGCCTGACCAGCTGACCAGGCCCGACAGAACAGACCAGACCAGCCAGACGAACCAGTCCAGCCAGACCAGACCAGGCCAGCCAGACCAACCTGACCAGCCAGACCAATCAACCAGACCGGACCAGCCAGACGAATCGGACAAGCAAGACCAACCAATCAGACCAACCAGATCGACCAGCCAGACCAACCAGACAAGGCAGACCAACCACCATCGTCCTCGTCGTGGTCGTCGTGGTCGTGGTCGCAGCCCTGTCGGCGTATCCGTTTTTATGACGACAGGTTGATTTCTTTGGGAAGCAAGATTCAGCTGAAGTCGTCGTGGTCGTCGTCTTCCCGGTCGTCGTCGTCGTCGTCGCGGCCGGTCCTGGTCGCGGTCGCAGCCCTGTCGGAGTATAACTTTTTGTGGAGACTGGCTCAGACGGCCCCAAGACGGCCCAAGAGGCCCCCAAGACGGCCCAAGAGGGCTCCAAGACGGCACCAAGAGGGGCGCAAGACCAGCGAAACCAACCAGACCAGCCAGACCAACCAGACCAGCCAGACCAGCCAGACCAACCAACCAGATCAGACCAGCCTGACCAGCTGACCAGGCCAGGCAGACCAGACCAGATTAGACCAGCCAGACCAACCAGTCCAGCCAGACCAGACCAGGCCAGCCAGACCAGTCAGACGAACGGGACCAGCCAGACCAACCAATCAGACCAACCAGTTCGACCAGCCACACCAACCAGACCAGCCAGACCGACAGGACCAGACAAGCCAGACCAACCACCATCGCCCTCGTCGTGGTCGTCGTGGTCGTCGTGGTCGTGGTCGCAGCCCTGTCTGCGTATCCGTTTTTATGACAACAGGTTCATTTCTTTGGGAAGCAAGATTCAGCTGAAGTCGTCGTGGTCGTCGTCTTCCCGGTCGTCGTCGTCGTCGCGGCCGTCCTGGTCGCGGTCACAGCCCTGTCGGAGTATAACTTTTTATGGAGACGGGCTCAGACGGCCCCAAGACGGCCCAAGAGGCCCCCAAGACGGCCCAAGAGGGCTCCAAGACGGCACCAAGAGGGGCGCAAGACCAGCGAGACCAACCAGACCAGCCAGACCAAGCAGACCAGCCAGACCAGCCAGACCAACCAACGAGACCAGACCAGCCTGACCAGCTGACCAGGCCAGGCAGACCAGACTAGACCAGACCAGCCAGACCAACCAGTCCAGCCAGACCAGACCAGGCCAGCCAGACCAACCTTGCCAGCCAGACCAATCAACCAGACTGGACCAGCCAGACGAACGGGACCAGCCAGACCAACCAATCAGACCAACCAGTTCGACCAGCCAGACCCACCAGACCAGCCAGACCAACTGGACCAGACAAGGCAGACCAACCACCATCGTCCTCGTCGTGGTCGTCGTGGTCGTGGTCGCATCCGTTTTTATGAAGACATGCTAGGAAGTTTGTAGTTTCACATAGATATATGATTATATAAAATATAATCTAGACTGTCCTGGAGGATCCAGGAAATCCTGCAGCCCTTTGTTGCTCGAGGAAAAGAGCGACCCTCACCTCCCCCCTTTCTCCGCGAGGGGGGTGGGTGCGCGTGCATGGTAGCGGAGCTCGCTTGAGGATCGCGGGCCGCTCCGCACCCCGGCGAGCTCAAGGAGCCCCTCAGCAGCTGGCGGGCCGATCCACGCGAGCGCCGAGAGGACCCCTTGCTAGTCAGAGCTGCGGTCAGACCCGCGCTCTGACAGTGGAGGCCAAGCAGCCACGGAGAAGGCCAAGAAGCCGAACAAGCGAGGAGGCAGGTCGGCGGACACGCGTCAGCACCGCGAGCTTCGAGGGACCGCCTTTAGGAAGCTCAAGGCGTGCGGCAGCAGAGCGCAGCTCACGCAGGAGGAGCGAGCAGCGGTGACGAGGCAGCTGAGAAGCGACATCGAGAGGATAGGGAAGCGTGTCAGCGACGTGCTAGACTATCAAGATGGAGCAGCAGCTGCAGCAACTGGTCGATCAAGTTCAGAGGCTGACGACGGAGAGTCAGAACATGAGACAGGAACTTCAGAACAGAGACGTGACGATCGCAGAGATGCGAGGTCAGCTTCAAGCTCAGCAACAGGCTCAGCAGCAGCGGGTAGCCCCGCGCGGCGAGATGATGGATCCGAAGATTCTTCACAAGGTGAAGCCGTTCGACGGCCACAGGGCGAGTTGGAAGACGTTCAGTTTCCAGTACAGAGCGTACCTGATCGCCCAGGATCGAAGGTACCGAGATCTTCTGGAAAGGTGCGAGGACGGAGCCCAGGAGGTGGACAACGTCAACCTGGACGCGCAGGAGGAAGAGCTAAGCACGCAGTTGTACTACGGCCTGGTCCTGGCGATGCCCGAGGACTCAGTAGGCGAGCTGATCGTGAGGAACAGCCCAGTAGGAGAAGGAGCCGAGTGTTGGAGGAAACTTCAGAAGGAGTACAACCCGAGCGAGGCAGGAAACGTGCTGGCGATGTGGACCAAGCTCACGGACACGAAGTTCGACGCCAAAGAAGACGTGATGGTGAGCATCAGCAAGCTGGACGAGGACATGACAAGGTACCAGAAGATGGCAGGAGAACCAGTCTCGGACCTGATCAAGCGAGGCATCCTTACAAAGGCGCTGAAGGATCACGACGAGCTGCAGAAGCACGTGTTTCGGAACAGCAGTCGGCTAAGTACGTACGAGCTCCTGAGAGCCGAGGTGGTGTCGGCGTTGATGGCAGAGCGAGCGGTTCAGGACGACCCGATGGAGATAGGCGCGCTGAAGGGCGGAAAGAGACCGTGGAAAGGCCGCGGCAAAGGGAAAGACGGCAAGGGCAAGGAGAGGCCACCGAATCCCGACGCCGAGATCGAGTGCCACTACTGTCACAAGAAGGGCCACCGCAGCGCAAACTGCCGAAAGCGGATCGCCGACGAGAAGAATACATCCGAGAAGGACAAGAAGGACAAGAAGCAGCTCCGAAAAGAGAAGGGAAAAGAAAAGAAGAAGATCGGGGCAGCGGCAGTCAGGGAGCTCGAAAGGTTACGACAGGCAGGAGTGGGCACAGGAACAAGTTCGACAGCACCTACACAACAGATGTTGGGAAGTCAAGGAAGCGCCGACAGCGCGATGACTCAGCAGGTGCTGCGCCCAGTCAACTGCGCGCTGCAAGCGAAGATGATTCTGGCCCTGAGGGCAGAGGTCTCAAGAAGCGCAGCCACACGATCGACTGGAAGTACTGCTTGCCTAGCTACCACCAATATGTCTGCTGCTCTTGCAAGAAGACCTTTGAAGGATGGCGATGGCACTTCGATCAGTGGAAGCTGGACTACTGTGCCGCGTGTGCCGAGTACTGCCTGGACAACTGGTTCAAGGACGAGGAAGAGCCAGACGACAACGAGAAGCCAAGACCAAAGAAGCACAAGAAAGACTATCAGTAAGTGCTGCGATGTGCCAGCTGCGGTGAGCCCCGCGCTGGCCGGCCCCAGGCATGTCACCGTCGCTGGTCTTCGGCCCGTGGATGAAGATCAGAGCCCTGCAGATGACCGATTGCGGTTAGCCCCGCTTCGGAATGCGATCATGCTCGACTCAGGTGCGCAGATCAGTGCGATACCGAGATCACAGGTGACCAAGCATAACTACACGCCGACGGACAGCAACGTTGTCGGCTTGAAGGGCATAGGAGGCGAGGAGATCGAGAGGTACGGCCACGTGGAGCTGAACCTATCCCGAGGAGGAGAGGTTATTCAAGTCGGTGCAGAGGTTGCCGATGTGGAGTACCCAGTTGTGGCTACAGATGCTGTAGTACAACGTGGTCAGAGTGTTCTTCATAGCCCTGCAGGTCACTGGATCATCAAAGGTACCGTCGAGCCACCTGACGGAGCTGAGTTCGTACCTCTACGGCGTCACCAAGGCAACTACTACTTAGAGTACGATCACATCATCGACGGCCAGACTCAACCAGAAGCTTCAAAGGTAGCTGCGGTCCGAAAGACGCTACCGAGGAAGGTACCAGCTGAACAGGAAGCTGGATCTTTGCCGAAGGTTCTAGGTCCTGAAGCTGATGAGACCACAACTGTGCCAACGAGAGTGTTGAAGACTCCTCACCAACCTAGTGCTGCGGAGAGAGCCGCGCACGAAGGGCATCATCTACCTTTTCGGCCTTGGTGTCCCATCTGCGTGCAGGCTCGAGCAGACGATGACCCACACCACGCTCAGGAACCAGCTGATGAGAACAAGATCCCGAAGGTCATGTTCGACATCTTTTACGTAGGGACGGACCAGCTGGCTGCGAAGTACAAGCTTAAAGGAGGTTACTTCAGCATCAGGGAGAAGATGTCGGTCACGAAGGCCGAGCTAGACCAAGCGGTCTCTGTCTTGAATGTTATCGACTGTAAGATCTTGGCTCAGGCGACGTTGTACGCGAACAAGGAGACGGATGACTACAAGGTGTCCTTCCTGCTAGGCGTGCTGGAAGCTTGGGGCCACACAACAGTCATACTTCAGACAGACCAGGAGCCTGCCACCATGGCTCTGGCGCAGGCAGTTCGAGATCGCAGATCACACTCAACCTTGGTGCGGGGATCACCGCCCTTTTCCAAGCAAAGTGCAGGCTACGCTGAAGGAGCTAACAAGCTAGCAGCTGGTCTACTTCGAGCCTACAAGCTGAAGCTGGAGCACAAGCTGGGCTGTGAGATCAAGATGACGGATCCGATCGTGCCATGGCTTGTGAACTCAGTGGGGTGGATGATTACCAGATTCCAGCCTCGCAGTCACGGAGGTTCCTCCTACAAGATGCTCTACGGCAAAGAGTACAACGGCGAGATTGCGGAGATGGGTGAGCAGGTCTGGTATCGGATCTCAGCCAGAGTTGCCGCGGGACGTGGCAAATGGGAAGCCCGCTTCGCAAAAGGAATCTGGGTTGGTAAGAGTGAGCTGGACGATACACATCTCGTGATCGATCCTGAACGTGGAGTGCAGAAGGTCAGAACGGTGCGAAGGATGCCTGAGGAGTTCAGATGGCAGCCCGAGCTCATCCAGCACATCAGGGTGACGCCCTGGAAGCAGACGCCCGACAAGAGTTCAGGAACGATCGGACGCAGCATGTACATCACGGAGCGCATGATCGATGCTCATGGTCCTACTGACGAGTGCAGGAAGTGCAGTACAGGATACGGTTCGCATTCGGCAGCCTGCCGACAGCGTTTCGAGACCATTCAGGCCGACTTGCTGCGCGAGAAGTTGGCAAAGGACCCTGTGGCCCCTGAGGCTACAGTCGTGGTGCCAGCACCGGCTGCGGGTAGCCCCGCGCCTGGAGCCGCACCAGGAGGAGCAGCGGCATCAAGCAGCAGTGAGGTTGCGGTGAGCCCCGCACCTGCTGCCAGCGACGTAGCTATGGTCCCTGGCCCAGGAGAGGCTGAGGTGCAGACAGCCATGGACACGGAGAGTGGCGAGCTCAGGAGCGACTTTCGGCGAAGTGCCCCAGGTGAAGTTCGTGAAGGAGCTGAGGTCAAGAAGCCCAGGGTAGCAAGCATTGGGCATCTCTCTGTCTGTGAGTTGGCAGTCTGCGAGGAGGGCTACGACGAGAGCTTCGACCCCATGTGGGATCCACACCCAAAGCGCAGTGCGAGATGTTCCGAGAGGTGTGAGAAGCACTCGTCACGATGCCAGCTACGAGAATGCCACCAAGCTGAGTGTGCATGCAGGAGATGTTTGATGAGCCACATCGGCACAATCAGGAGCCACTTCGGAGATCCTGAGGATCAGCAGGTGGAGCAGATGGTTGAGGTGAGCGCCGAGCTGCATGAGAAAGACCAGTGGAGCCCAAAGACGATACACTACGATTACTATACTGGAGAGCCTCTGGATGAGGACCTGTATCAGAAGGGTCGCGACGACGAGCTGCAGGCCATGAAAGACTACGGGGTCTACGTGGAAGTGGCGACATCGACGGCGACTGACGGCAAGCACATTGGAGGTTTCCCGATAGCCCACATGAAAGAAGGAAAGGTCAGGTGGAGGTTCGTAGCAACCGAGGTGAACAAGTACGAGGTCAGGGAGGACAACCACCAAGGCACGCCCCCGCTCATGATTGTCAGAGCGACGCTGAGCCGTGCCGCTTCAAGTCCAACTTCCAGCGGGCAGCACCTGCGGAAGATACAAGTCTGGGACGTCAGGAAGGCTTTCTTCAACGCTGACTTAGACGAGACGATCTACGTGCATCCTGGGAGAGAGCTGTGTCCGCCTGGAAGGTGCTGGTGGTTACGCAAGGCCATGAACGGTACCAGGAAGGCGTCGCAGATGTGGGGTGAGCTTGTGAGAACTACTATGGACGACGGCCATTGGGAATGCTTGGTTGGAACTCCTAACGTGTTCTACTTACCTGCTAGCCCCAACACAGCCCCCTTCGACGAGGATAGCACAGCGATCTGCCATGGCGATGACTTTCTTGCTGAAGGCTACGACGAGCAGCTGGACGAGCTGGACGAGTTGTTGAAGCAGCAGTTTGAGGTCACGGCCAGCGCCAGACTTGGACCAGGAGCGGTGGGGCAGACTACATACCTCAAGAGGACGATCGGCTACACCGACAAGTTGCCAGGTTGCGAGGAGCCAGGTTTCTTCTGGACTGCCGATCCCAAGCATGTGGACTTCATGATCAAGTGGACGCAGAAGCGAGGTTGTAAACCAGCTCCTACTCCAGGAACGAAAGCTACAGGACAAGGCCGACGAGACAGCCTAGACCTTCTTTCCAAGGATCGTGCTCGAGAAGTGGCGGGTGCAGCAGGCACCGCTCTTTACCTTTCTTCGGACAGGCCCGACACGATGTACGCCAGCAAGACAGCGATGCAGCACGTCTCCAACCCGAACGTCTTGATGCATGCGCGTGTTCAGCGACTTGGAAGGTACTACGAAGGACAGCCTGTTTTGGTCTGGTGTTACCCACTTCAAGGTACTCCTGAAGGCATTCGTGTAGATGGTGATGCGGATTGGGCACCTACGAGTGAACTACAGCGGCGATCTACCAGTGGAGGAGCTGTGAGGTATGGCGACCACACTTGGGACTGCTACTCAGTGACGCAGAGTACGATAGCCCTAAGTTCAGGGGAATCCGAGATGTATGCTACGGGAAGTGCGACAGCCAGAGGACTTCAGTGTAAGACTTACCTGATCGAGACCCAGAGGCCCTGCAACCTGAAGATCTATAGTGACAGCACAGCTGGACGTGGCATGTGCAGCCGAGTTGGGGTGGGCAAGGTCAGGCATCTGGAGCTGAGGTACTTGTGGATTCAGGAGCGGTTGCGTCTCAAGGCGTTCGAGCTTCACAAGGAGGACACCAGCAAGATGACAGCCGACATGCTCACGAAGTACAGCGAGTGGCCGACAATCGAGAAGCATTGCACCACTCTCAACCTCAGGTTCGGAAAGCAGATGACGGGCTTGAGCGCAATGGCAGTTTTCACGGAGGTCGTGACGAAGGCGTCAGGCGAGAAGGTGACAGTGTACGGAGGATCTGACGAGGTTGCGGTTTGCCCCGCGCCTGTCAGCCACTATGTGGAGAGCGAGGAGTTCAGGTTCTACTTGATGTTGGGACTTGTTATGGTGACTGCAGCGAGTACTTTCTTATTGGGGTGCTGGTGTGGTTGCTACTTCAAGAACTTCTACGACAAGTTCTTCCTCCAGGGTGCGGTTAGCCCCGCCTCTGGAAGCACTTGCCCACCATCTGCGCGGGCTGACGTCGAGTTCAAGACCGTGTGTGCACAGCAGGACAAAGGTGCAAGGCACAAGCTCTTAAACACGTTTCTTGTGGCTGAGCTGCGAGCTGTCTTGAAGGCCAAGAGCCTGGCCGTGTCAGGGATCAAAGAAGACCTGGTCACGAGGATGATCAAGCACGGAGGTGTTCTGTCGGATCGCCAGGCCAAGGAGATCGAGCAGCTGCGGGTGATGGCTACAGCGCATGGACCTCTTGCCAAGCTTAGCTTGCAGGACATCAGCAGTCCAGAGGCTGCGCAGAAGTGGATCGAGACGTTCAAGGGCGAGTGCCGAGACCGTTCCAGAGGCTCTCAGGTGATCCACGGAGAGGGCTAGGAGAATGGTCGCAGGAAGCACTACGACGGCCGAGGGTGAGCTTTGTTTTACAGGCTGCGGTTTGCCCCGCGCCTGCCCTCAGCGGGTAGCCCCGCGATGGGTTTAGGGGGCCAGCGCCGTTGCGACGCCTGCCCAGGGAGCACAAAGAGGCTTCCCTGTGGCTCACTTTTCTTGGCTGGAGGCCGAGCCGCTTCCAGCGCCCAAGGAGAGGTGCTAGGAAGTTTGTAGTTTCACATAGATATATGATTATATAAAATATAATCTAGACTGTCCTGGAGGATCCAGGAAATCCTGCAGCCCTTTGTTGCTCGAGGAAAAGAGCGACCCTCACCTCCCCCCTTTCTCCGCGAGGGGGGTGGGTGCGCGTGCAAGACAGTTCCATTTTTTGGGAAGCCAGATTCAGCTGAAGTCCTCGTGGTCGTCGTCTTCCCGGTCGTCGTCGTCGCGGCCGTCCTGGTCGCGGTCGCAGCCCTGTCGGAGTATATCTTTTTATGGAGACGGGCTCAGACGGCCCCAAGACGGCCCAAGAGGCCCCCAAAACGGCCCAAGAGGCAACCGAGAGATCCGCCACCGCGCTTGCAGCGGTAGGTGTGTCTCAGGCCCAGTCGTCGTGGTCCCAGACGTTCGTGCTGCAACCTCCCCTAAACCACTCGCGCCCGAAGCCTAAGGTAAAGCTGCAAGACGAAGCTCAAACCAGATCCACCAGGCCAGCCAGACCAGATGCAAAAAACAACTGCAATACAGAAACAACTGCAATGCAACAAAAACAGTTTTCGTGTCGTCGTGGTCCCAGACGATCGTGCTGCAACCTTCCCTAGACCACTCTCGCCCGAAGCCTAAGCTAAAGCTGCAAGGCGAAGCTCAAACCAGACCAACCAGACCAGCCAGACCATATGCAAAAAAAACTGCAATGCAGAATCAACTGCAATGCAAACAAAAACAGTTTTCGTGCCGTCGTGGTCCCATACGTTCGTGCTGCAACCTCCCCTAAACCACTCTCGCCCGAATCCTAAGCTAAGGCTGAAAGACGAGGCTCAAACCAGACCACCCAGACCAGCCAGACCAGATGCAACAAAAAATGCAATGCACCAAAAACTGCTTTTCGGTGGTAGTGGTTGTCGCTGCCTCCCCGGACCTCCCCTAAACCACTCTCGCCTGAACCCTAAACTAAAGCCTCAGCACCAGGCTCAAACCAGACCAACCAGACCAGCCAGACCAGATGCAACAAAAAAACTGCAATTCCAAATAAATGCAATGCAACAAAAACTGCAATGCAACACAATTTGCTTTTCGGTGGTGGTAGTGGTTGTTGCTGCCTCCCCGGACCTCCCCTAAACCACTCTCGCCTGAATCCTAAGTTAAAGCCTCAGCACCAGGCTCAAACCAGGTGCAAAAACAATTGCTTTTCGGTGGTGGTGGTAATGGTTGTCGCTGCCTCCCCGGACCTCCCCTAAACCACTCTCGCCTGAATCCTAAGCTAAAGCCTCAGCGCCAAGTTCCAACCAGACCACCCAGACCAGCCAGACCAGATGCAACAAACAAACTGCAATGCAACAAAAACTGCAATGCAAAAAAAACTGCAGTGCAAACAAAAACTGCTTTTCGGTGGTGGTAGTGGTTGTTGCTGCCTCCCCGGACCTCCCCTAAGCCACTCTCGCCTGAATCATCAGCTAAAGCCTTAGCACCAAGCACAAACCAGACCACCCAGACCAGCCAGACCAGATGCAACAAAAAATGCAATGCACCAAAAACTGCTTTTCGGTGGTAGTGGTTGTCGCTGCCTCCCCGGACCTCCCCTAAACCACTCTCGCCTGAATCCTAAGCTAAAGCCTCCGCACCAAGCTCAGACTAGACCACCTAGACCAGCCAGACCAGCTGCACAAAAAAACGGCAATGCAAACAAAAAAACTGCAATGCAAAAACAAAAACTGTAATGCAAAACAACGGCAATGCAACAACATCTGCTTTTCGGAAGGGGTAGTGGCTGTTGCTGCCTCCCCGGACCTCCCCTAAACCACTCTCGCCTGAATCCTAAGCTAAAGCTTCAGCACCAGGCTCAACCAGACCACCCAGACCAGCCAGACCAGATGCAAAAAAAAAGCTGCAATGTAAAAACAACTGCAATGCAAAAAAATCTGCAATGCCTCAAAAACTGCTTTTCGGTGGTGGTAGTGGTTGTCGCTGCCTCCCCGGACCTCCCCTAAACC